ACTGCCCGTTCTTGCACTTCCGCATTTCTGCCGCGAGAAAAAACCCTTTCTCCCGCACGTGTTTCCCTATCTCACTCGATGACCTGCTTCTGATTTCGCGACTCGCAGTCTCACGTGAGCGCGACAAGTTCAATAAATTATATATCTGTCTGTATACACGTTCCATGCCGCGTATACCATCGGTGGCTCACACTGAACTTTCCAATCCAGGCCATTTAATGTTTTGACGATAAACAGGTATATGCAATATTACATGATATTTCATAATATCATTGATTGATATATCTACACTGAAAAAAAAGATTGGATGCTGCAGCAAATTAGATGGTAAAATATAGCATAGCATTTTTGTGTTAGTCTATCGGAATTCTATACTGACATTGCAGATAGGCTAACGCAATCAAAAATTGGCTGCTACAGCCAATTAAAAATGCTATGCCATATTTTACCATCTATAATAATTTGCTGCAGCAGCCAATCTTTTTTTTAGTGTATGCTATACATTTTAATCGTATATTACATTTACGATTATGTAGAGCAGATACATCACATCGTGTACCATCGGTGGCTTGGATGAAAAGTTACGCAAAAATGGTGTGGCATAGTTAGGTGTTAAAGAATTGGAAATAATCATAGATAGTGATTCCCTTAGCATCTGTGCTCCGTTAGAAAGAATTGAACATATCAGCATCTCTCTCTTTAATTCTATCAACATTTCTTTTCAACTCGATAATTTAGAGAGAGAAAATATGATTCAAATTACCTCTTTCCAAATCGATAACTACTTCATAGGAATAAGCTACTGCTATTATAAGTATATTCTTATTATGCTTTTAAAATAATGTAGGTAATTTTATGTGTTTTTTTTTTTAAAGTTGATGATGACGTTGGAAAAATGAGCGAATTGCGAGAAACTATACACGAATAATTTATCACTTTTTTATTTATCGATGAAAACCTCTTGGCAATACAGATGTATTATTACTTCATCTATCACTTTGTTAGCATGTAAACAAATGAAATTTTTTTCCTGTTGATAGAGTTATTCATGGAATGGACGTTTATCATTTGAATAATACCTTGACATTGCAATAGTCTTGAAAGCGTGAAATTAGCAAATTGCTAGTCAATTTATACATACACTTGAATTATTATTCTATTTATATGTACTTGTTCGATATAACTAATGACTGAAATTTGTATATTAATGAGAGAGAGAGAGAGAGAGAGAGAGAGAGAGAGAGAGAGAGAGAGAGTTGATAAGTAATATTTTTAAAATTGTGAAATTAACAAATTGATAGCCGTCTCATATATAGTGTGACTATTTTCGAATCTAAAGCGAGAAACTTGTTGAGAGGATGAGAGAGAATATTTGAATGTAAAGAAAGTATTTAATTCAATAATAATAATAATTTATTTAAAAATAATACAATTATTTATATTTTGACATGTTTGGTGAGACAATAAAATAATCACCTCGAAAGCGGAACTGTCCGGGATGTCCGATCTTTAGTCATACATGATGTCTTTACTGATATATAATGTTTTCGTATGTACTGATCCTCTTCGATTTAATGAATGGCTAGAATTTGCATATTGAAGGAGGATAATAAGATAATGTTTTATTTATACACTTCTGCCGCCAAGAAATAATTTAAATATCTACTCTATTCTAATTATACCAATATAACTGATGAAAGAGGATAATGGTGTTCTCGATAAAACGAGTAAGTAACTTATCGAAGTTATATTGTTAAAATTTGACTGCAACATTTTTTAATAACCTGTGAGTACTTACACTTAAAAGATATCAAACAGCGCAATAAACATTTAATAAATATAATATATAGATAGCCCTGAGCATTTCGATCGATCCAGGGATGACCATGAACTCTAACATGCAAATCGATTTGCCTATGGAACGCACGTGTTCACTTCTTTATCAAATTATAGATAACAAAACACACACACAAGAAATACTATACAATATTGATTGAGAGTTTAAAATATTTGGCGTTGTTTTAAATACGGAAAACAAGAATAAGTATATTTTCGGCATATTATACTGTTTTATTTATTACTGTCGTTTATTGCCATTCCTTTTTTTTAAGCTGTTTGTACTTTTCCTTTATGGAAATAATGAATGCGCTCATTCTTGCTCCCTATACTTAAAACAACACTAAATGCACCAATTTTAGCAAATTTTTTTTTAAATGCGCGTCGAAACGTGCGTCATCTTTCACAAAATATTATATATAAATATTAAACATTTAACGATATTCGGTATTAATCGCATCTTCTCCCAAAAACAAAAAAATTATTGGCCAATCCAATATACATATATATATATGTATATATTATATACATATATCTATATATTTTTATATATTTGTTCGATAAAAGCAGCATTAATTTCGCTGGTATAATCACATATCATTTATTTCGATACAAAAATCAGGTTTTAAAAATTTAATATTTATATTGATTATCCCGCACTTGTATTACCTTAAAGTGATTGACGACCAACTTACATAACTTGTGCGTTGCAATCTTTTGAATGTTACGCTTGGTCAAACGAGAAAATCTTAAAAAAATAAATTGCATCATTTTTTTTCCCAAGTATTACATCAGTAAAAAATATTACATTAATATATTATACATACATATTCTAAAGATTTCTATAAGTAAAATAAAAACGCAATTTATTACAGTTTCGATTTTTTTATTATTTTACGTGTACAAAAATCATATTACTATGAGATATGATTGCGAAATAAATAGAAATAGAAATAGCACAGAAGTCTCGCGTGATTCATCATCACGCGTACCGAAAATCGGAATCGTCATAATGGGAAATCATCGTTGTGGAAAGAGTAGACATCTCTTTAACATTCGAAGGTCCGACATGTAGTTTACCCTACTTTTCCCTATCGCGCCTAATTCGCGCGATGACTTCGCAGCCGCAACGAGAACGCGATATTAACACATTTCTCTTTACGTTCACAATGACGAATTGTCACGTGCATTGATTGTGACTAACATATTAGGATTTTACGCTAACTCATTGTAAGAGAAAAGAATTTTGTTTTGACTCGCAAGATTTGAGAGAGTTTATAATAGATCTCGCTTCTTATTCTGCAATTTCAGTTACGAAGAAAGGTCGATTGAATAGAAAGCAAGATAGAATAAAAACAAACCACAGACATATCCGGTGGGGTTTATTGAACGAATAAAGTTCAGGTGATAGCAGTAAAATGTATTATAGTATTAAGAAATATACAGTTTTAAGTATCTTGAAACTGGTGACTGGAAAATTTTACTCAAGGCAATTCAATAAGTTACTCACTGTGAGAAGCTTGGAAAATAGCGCCAAGTCCAGGAGTTCAAATGCATTAATCGAGAATAAATTTCAAACGTATAAGAATGTCTTTCACTTTCATTCGCAGCAAATTTGCGTGACGGACTTCCTGATTTCTTTTTTCAACGAATTTAAAAGATCGCGTGTTAAAAATTTTTTTAACTGAATTTTTTTCTACCAATAGGAAGCGAGTTTTCACTGAGTCGGTTTTGCTCTGGACAATCGATATTGTTACCGCATTCCATCGATCCATTGTCGTGCAGCTTTATACATTCCTGTTATTAAAATGCAATAGCCAATACAGTTTCATGCACTGTTGAATTAATAATAGTCAGTGAATTATACCACAACTAGAACTACTATTTATTCTTTGGCAGCTATAATTACATTATGTGATTATGTGAATAATTAGATGCTACTACAATTTATGAACAGCGGTGAAAGCTGTAAAAGAGAAAGACTTAAAAGACTTTGGTTTTCAAAAACTTATATGATCTCCTTTGATGAGAAATTATCGTAAATTTTGATACTGTTGGCGTTTACTTCTAATAAAAATAAATATTTTTTTATCTAAATTTTATTTTCTTCTACAGAATTCCTTTTCTTGCCGATAAGCGCGAATTTTAGCACTGATTTATGTTACCGTACAAAAACTAACGGAAAATATTGATCGAGAATACTGATGTATATTGATATTATATGTATTTTTCTTCGAGTAATGAACAATAAACTTTTTTCCGTAAATTCGTTTCATCCAGCGCTTTATTCTATGTGCTCCATTAATCTAAACTGCGACTTCTTACTATAAACGAATTTAACGATGCGGCACATTTTCACAAAGTTATCTTGCCTGAGTGTTGAAGTGCGTAAAAATTTAATTTTAGTTTTTTCCTGTTCGAAAAAATTATGATAATTATGATAATTTATAAAATTAATAATTATAAAATTATGATCATTTATAAAATACGAAATATGGTTTAAAATAAAATTACAATGTACAAAATTTGGTTTAATCATTATGAGATTACTGATCTTTCTCTTTCTCTAATCTTGTTCCAACACATAAATTTAAAATGAAGATATATTTAAATATTTTAAATTATAATATTGCATTTTAATTTTACGGCGATGATTAATGACGACAAATTTTCATTTCATTTTGTATATGTTATTTGACAATTCTTATTGGCATATTCGAGTACCATTACATCATAATTACATAGCAATAAAAAGTCGACTCGAGTGAAATTTATATCTCAACTTTTTTTTCAACTGTTCAAAGTATACTCACAGTTAATAGAATACCGTAAAGAAAGTGTACATACTGATACAAATAAGGACGAAATTTAGCTCCTCTCGTCATTGTCCTAAGTGGGATGCAGTGGACTCAATATTTTTGGAATGTAATTTCTGAAATATTCCAATTAGTTTTATTCTATTTAATAATTTTTTGTGAATTTTTTGCTGCAATATTTTCTTAAATTTTAAAAACTTTAGATATTTACTCATAAAAGAACGACGCAAATAAAATAATAATACGCATGCATGTTAAGATTAAATATTAATCGTATTATTTTGAAGAGGAATTTTTCATGTTTCGATGAAGATAAGCAAATGTAGTCATAATCCTTATCTGTTTTAGATACAAACCAACGAGGTTGTGGGGTTTCAGCGGTCACGTACAAACTATCATCCACAGTATTATAGGACGTGTCCGGTGTCCTTGGCCCATTGGAGAACGTGTGTACATCGGTCTTCCAGACGAGACCACCCTTACGTACGATCTTTATCAACCACTGACTAATGGACATGAAGGTATTATTCATAGATTAATAACAAAGATTAATAATTTTTTACGACTAATTTATATTATTTTTTCTTAGAAAACGCTTTAAATGTCTTTAATAATGAAAAAGTTGTTTTTCAAATTTGAGATGCTCGATGAATAATTTTTACTTCAGATGACATAACGATAGCCATCTGTCCTGGTATTGGCAACAGCTCGGAGAGCGTGTACATTAGGACGTTCGTGCATTTCGTGCAATGTCATGGATATCGATGCGCAGTACTTAATCACGTCGGAGCCCTTTCCAGTGTCAAGATTACGGCACCCAGAATATTTTCTTATGGTACGTGTGGCAATCGATAAAACTTATCTTACTATAGGACGAGGCGATCGATTGAGGAAAATTGGCGGATAATAACTAAGTTCTTATATCGCGCGAGTATGTACACATCGCGAGAATGTTAAGCAAACTCAGGGTTGTTAAAAGTTATTTTCTCGTTACTGTGTCGTTACTTTTTATAATAAACAATTTGATAACGACGTTGCAATTTTTTATGATGATAACGCTAACTAACTAAATGCTAAGGTTATGATAAGGCTGGAAAAATCACTTTGAAAAGTAACCTGTCATCATTACGCATTACTCGCTGAAAAAACTAAAAGTACGAGTAACGAAGTAACGAAATAGTAACTTTCAAATTTCGTTATTCGTTACTAGAAATTATAACTTAATTATCATTACCGTTACTCATTAGGAAAGGTAATTACGTAAAAAAAGTAACGAAAAAGGTAACTTTTTTATGTAACTTATACAACTCTGAACAAACTATATATAGCTATAGAAAAAACCACCCCGATGTAGATTCGTGAAACTTTCTGGGTTACACTGTTAGTACGTCTTACAATTGTATTCATAAATGTGATTGATATAATCGATAAAAAAAATTTTCAACAAGAATGATGAAGAAATTGTAATCAAAATTACACGTTTATACTTGGTATTCTGTATCTTTTTTCTTTAAATACATATTTCTTGAATAAAATTTTATACATATGTTTAAAGAAATATTTTTTTTAATTTTACAATATGCATTTTATAAACAGGTCACACGGACGATTATAGCGCGATGCTACAACATCTAGTAGAACAGCACCCTAACACCAAAATAGTTTGTATCGGATATAGTTTAGGCGGTAATTTAGTAACAAAATATTTAGGAGAACGCGGTTCCAACAAATTGCCTAATATTATAGGAGGGATATCGATTTGTCAAGGATACAATGCTCTCAAGTAAGTATAAATAGATTTCTTCGATTTACAATTAAAATGAATTGATAAGAAGAGGTATTATTTGTATACATATTTTTCGTAGGGGAACGAAAATTCTATTAAATTGGCAGAACTTTAGACGTTTTTACCTCTATGTAATGACTGAATCGATGAAGAATCTTATTCTGAAACACAAAAATATGCTTTTGTCTGAAGATGTAAAACAAAGATGTAATTTGAACGAGCGAGACATAATTTCTGCTGCGACGTTACCTGAATTGGACGAAGCTTATACGAGAAGGGTAAGTTTAATTCTTTCAAACACACAATTATAAAATTTAAATAATGGATCCGATTTTTATAAAATGTTTTGTTGTTTAGGTACACAATTTTAGGTCTGTGCAAGAATTGTACAAGTGGAGTAGTTGTCTCTTTTATCTAGATAGCATTACAACGCCGATGGTATTCATCAACGCGTTAGACGATCCCATCGTGCCGGAGATATTATTAAATCCAATCAAAGACCACGCGGGTGAATATCTAAATATGTAGTTTGTATGTATACGAAAATAAATAATAAGTAAACCTATACTAATCTCTCGTATTTTGTTATTTTCAGCAAATCACTTAAATACATTGTATGTGGAACTAGCTCATGGAGGTCACCTAGGTTTTTACGAAGGTGGTCTTCTGTATCCAAATCCTATAACATGGCTGGATCGAACCCTAGTGTCCCTCGTGGGATCTCTGACTCTAGCGCACGCGGATAAGGCTCTTAAAGCCTCTTAACCCAATTTAGTTTGGTCAATGTATTTATATTATTGGACATTGATCGACAACGTGTCACACATTCTGATCTTGTGAAATCAAGCACTGTGCACCTGATTCACGTTTAGATAATCGAAAAGATCTATAACGAGATGATCTGCAACAAGACTGCAATGAAAATGGAAATGGCAGATTGTAATTAATAAAAGTATCCGGTATATGCTTTGATTGTTTCACGAAGTGAATGGGCAGTATCTTTCACAAACGATTCAGAGGAAATAAATGATAAGCGCGACTGTAAAATAACAAACGTTTGCTCACTGACATTTTTTAAATTGAGTATAGTTCAGGAAAACTAGCCAAATTGCGTAATCCTTTATATGTAGTCATAAATAGTAAAATTTTTATTATGCAATGTGGCACAATCAAAATTAGCTTAATTATTTGAAAAAGAGAGTAGAAACGAAATAAATTTTCAATATTTTACTAAATACTAACGCTTCTTTCTCAGGGATCTTCTATAGGGCAACGATTTGATAGGACTTTCAATGGTCCTTAACAGGTTACTAGAGATGCTCTGTATAAGGATTCAATCATGAATATATGCACATTGGATGTGAGTTTAATGCAATACAGAGATTTTGTGTACTTTTCACTAAGAAAACTTGTATTTATGTACAATATGTGTATTAAGATGTATATCGACTTAAAACATATTTATAAGCGCGTCTTAAATGTGTTTATTCTAACACCAGTATTCATAATGGTTTCTTATATTTAAGATTACTTTAAGTACAGTTTTAAGATGTAAGATCATGAACTAATCACAGAACCGTATTAGAATCTTAAGACATTACTTAAGATGATCTTGAAATAAGAACGGACTCTATGAATACCGACCTAAGATTATTAGCTTTATCGATATGGAAGGCTTACCGCTGTTGTATATATACAATAAATGATGTATGTGATTTATTAATCCGGAATTGGTGATAACGTTAAATTTGCAAGGAAATCTATTAAATCAAATTCAATATTCAAGTCTAAAATATAAGTCTCTGAAATTGTATGTATACTTAAATGTATACACGAAATTTTGTAAATAATACATTTTTAGCTAAAATTATAGTAAATTACTACGAAAAATATTGAGTTTAACAAATTCAACATTATTACTGCCGGATTAATGCAAATACTAGTTACAAGGTTTTGAGTACGAATCTACCATTGAAATTAGGAATGCCCGATATCCGAAAAGTATCGGTATCCGGTATTATCCGGCACTTTTTTACTATCCGACCGGATAGTCGGATATCATTAGTATTCGGGAATATATCCGGTTGAAATTTAATATCATTAAATTATTGATTTTTTATAATACAAATGTTTTAGAAATAAGTATGCATATTCATAATGCTATATTAATATCTTATATATTGTTGCAAAATTACAATTTTTTTCTCTACAGTTTTTTTTTAGAAACATTTTCCCGGAATCCGGTCGGACATCCGGAAAATGTCAGATATCCGACTTGAAGAAATTGCCTTCTTGGATATTCAACCGGATATCCAATGTTACATTCTATTCAGATATCCAACATTCGGTAATTTTACGATCCGGTACATCCCTAATTGAAATATTTCCATTTGGTTTTTGAGATATAAGAAAAAATTTTCCAATATATACATTAAAATTTTATTAGAAATTAGAAAACAAATCAGAACAATTGAGCGTAATTTTTGTTTTTTATATAACTTCGGAGCAGTTTTACGTATTAGATTCCAGTAGTAGCTACTTAACATGTTTCCGTTCCAGTATCCCTAATAACGTTTCACAATTATCAAATCCTGGTGCAACGTTTCGTCTTGCTCATCACTTGTCTAAATTATTTGGAATGAATTAGATGTGCAAAAAAATATAAATTTTTACATATGTATGCAACATAACAATGCTATTTCATGATAATTCTTTAATAGTTCTGTTTTAACAGTGCTATACAACATACTATATGTCTTAAAAATTCGATCTAATGGATTTTTTTTAAATAGCAGATTCGAACTCAGTACTCCAAAATACGTTAAAAAAATTGTTCCTTGCATTAAAAATTATTCAAAATTTATAAACAATTGTAATTTGTTTGCATTGTGTAATATGCAAATTTATTTATAACATCAAATAGAAGACTTTAACATGATCAAAATGCGGTTGTATCCACATTCGATATTATAATAAGTGATATATATTACTTAATTATGCAGACATTAAGCATTGTGGGATATATTACTCGTTGAATTATTTGCAGTGTATCTATTAATTTATTTATTTTAACGTGTATTCTTATTACTATGATGCAATGATGCAAATGTACAATAATTATATTTCATACATTGTGTTCATTCACGAAGTTTAAATTTCATTAAATTTTTCATTAAAGTCCAAAATTGTATAATATAACAAATTAATACTATATCGAATAATTATATCGTACATTTACCGTCGTGATAAAAAGTACCAAATATTTTTTAATTTCTCATTTTAATACTCCATATTGATAAAGTTGATATATACAGTATGTAATAATTTCTGACGTCAGATAATATATTTCAATTTGTAGGTTTATTAATTACCATACGTCTGTATAGATCTTAAGGTTTAACTGATATTTATTTCCTATTGTAGTGATTTAATAGTTTTCTTAAACGGTACTAATGATTGTAGGCGATTTCACGTTAAATTAGGCAGCAAAGAAGCGAATATTTTAGTTCTTTCTAAACTTATTTGCATTTGTATATAATATAATTACATATTTAAAACTTTAATGCCATAATGATAACGCTTTCCGAGACGTCAAACTTTGCGTATTTTGATATACCTAATGTTTTTGAAACGTTCCAATTTCAAAAAAGAAAAAAAAAGAAAAATTTAAATTTGACATAAAAGATTCAAGGACCAATTAACCAACTTAAAATGCATTTATTACACATACGGAATAGATTTTTAAATAACATTTCTATTTAAATATATTTTATTGAGATAATAGTCCTTTCTTCTAAAGTTATTTTCTTTTTCTTTTATAAAATTAAAAGAATACAATAATATTTCCTGATTTAAGATAAGTCTAAATAAAAATTGTGATCTTTAAGAATCTTCTTTTTAAATAAAGTATGATTTAATATAGTATGTCGTGCGTTAAAACAAGGTTACGTGATACTTTTTTAGCAACTAGCGTACTAGTCTTCTAACAAATGAGAAAACTAGCAGTTAGAGAAAATTTAATTTTATAAGTTATATTTCTTTAACTACTAGTTGTGTGAAAAAAACATAATTCATAAAATTAAAACCATATATCTATAAAAGCTCATCTAATTAACGTTCTAGTATAAGTAAAGGGCTATGAGCTAAAATATCAAAGATATTCGAGCAATATATAATTATAGAATTAAATTTTTCTTTTAAGTACTAGTGTTCTAGTTTACTAAAAGAGTAGCATGCTAGTTGCTATAGTAAAATAGCATTATGTAAACTTTGTTTAACATTTAGTATAGTAATGTATAAGCTGCGCAATTTCTTATTTCTTAGCGAAATTAAAACAATATAAACAATTTAAATAAATTATCATGTTCCTCTTCTTTATTTCTTAAAATTTTTCTAAGTTTTCTGCTTTTCACACTTTGATTTTTATCATGATATGTTTTCTTCTCTCTTATTCTTTCTCTTTATTACAAATATAAATACCTTAAATAAATTTGGATGTGTGAAAGTACAATTTTGTTTATTTAGTTTAAACATGTATTAAAATTTATATTATTCTACTTTTCGTGGAATTTTATTACACATGTTATGATTCATAGCTGAAAGTAATACTTCTACAAAAATATTTTTTCGATGAAATACATGTATGCAAAAGAATGCGTTGTTTTTTATTTTTCTCTCTAAAACTAATTTTTTTTATTTATCTGTTGTATATTTTGCTTCTAAAAATTTTGTTTCTCTTTACTGTATTTGGAGTTCTGAAAAACGCCGAAATTTATATAATGAAGAAAATATAATATTTATTAAATAATTATAAATAATTTTCTTAAATAATTATTTGAAAAAACTTAATTTGTCAACTAAAGATAGTTTACTAAATGATTTTTTTATTGAACGTTATCTTAATATACGAACATCTACATGCATAAATAAAGAATAAATGCAGAAATACATAATCTTGTAATAAAAAAAAACGACATGCGAGATATAGAATTACAAAACTCAGAAGAGAGAATGTAAAATGATTATAAATTTAGTTTATTGTCTATAACAATCACGAAACCGCACAAATTACTTTCTGTGTTATTAATGTTGATTATTGTGTGTACAATATTAAATTTTATTTATTTTTGGAATATTCTCAAAAATATACTTCTAATCCTTTATTTCGGACTATTTTTACAAATTAAAAAATATAAAAAATGTATTTTTGAAACTTAAACTTAAAAATTCAAGTTGATATTTTTTAAAAAACCATGATTACGGCATATTAAAACATATTATAATATACAGGGTGTCTCGTTACGTTTTGACACATCGATTGTGGGCAGGTAGACTGGACAAACTGAAAAGTCAAAAAGTTTGGGATATCCTATATATTGTATATGTTTCAATATTACATGCACAATTATAACAATTGTGAAAAACAAACAAATGTTCTTATTATTTATTCGTTCTCCTATTTAACGTGAAATCGCGCGTGTACAGTTAGCAATTAAAAGGTTACAACACTTTCTTTTTGATGGGTTTTGGAATACGGCTTGCTTATCAAACGATTGGTTCTTATTATTTTTATGAATTAATAATATTTATGAATTCATAAGTAAGAACCAATCGTTCGGTGAGTAGGCTACATTCCGAAAAAAGTTACAACCTTTTAGTTGCCAATTGTACAATTTTTCAACAGCAGACTGAAGCTGATCATATTTCCACTTAAAGTATTTATTTTATACAATAAAAAGCGATTTATATATGACCGAATCGAATAATATAGATTCGAATATTTATTTTCATGGTAATTTATTCAGAAAATTCCAATCTACAATCGGAATAACGCAAACATTTATATCCAGTATGGCAAATCAAATATTTAAGCTCTTTTAATCACTTGAATGCAAACTCCATAAATACATCAAGCTATGATACTATTATGTGTATAGTATCAAGTATCACTAAATACTAGACACACTTATAAATTTTATTTGTACAATTTTGTAAAAATAACGAAAGACAATAAGCCCTAAAATATACATAAAATTGAATAATATTTTTTATTCGCAAATTATTTTTAATTTTTATTTTTTTATATAATGAATATTTATTTCTTACTGGTATAAACATATGCCTTTTTAAAATTTGATGATATAATTTTCTCTTTATTTTTTTATAAGCATTTTCCACTGTATGTTTATACTAAATTAATCTTGATACAAATGTACACACTGATAATATCATACATTACTCAAAATGTAAAATTAGCAAAATTTGATATATGTATTAAACATGTTACAAATGTGTTATGACTTGAATGTTTGATGTTTGTGTTGACATATGTATGTTACAACATGTTCACATATATGTTACATAATTTTGGACGTCCAAAAAATCATAATGCAAATTTCTTTAGAAAAAATAATACTACATAATGAGAAAAAATTAAAATGTACAAATTGAATTAAGAGCTGTTCTAAATCAAGGAATGATGATTTCACATATAATTTCATCGTTACAATTTTATCTGGATGTAATTTAAGGTAATTACAGTGTATGACTAAACGATATCCCACATTGATCAATTCTTCTCTATATTGTGATACAAATTGCATTTGTGGAAGCGAATAACGAACACATACATTTTTCTTTAACGTATTATTCAACAGCGACAATTTTGTTTAACAGAATGTATATTCCCGCGATTGCAGTTACATGTGGTTATATGTGAGATTTTATCTTACGTATATGTGTATCTGTATATGAAACCTAAAATGTAAGGAAATAGAGAAAAAAATCTGCTTGCTGATTGCAAGACTTAAATCGAAACGCAAAGGAGGACTTTATTGAGCTTGCAAGAAAAGAAATTTGTTACTTCGACCTACCATTTAATATCAATTATCATGTATGCGACTACATGCGATTCTTATCAAATATCAGTGCACAGTTGCAGATATTATTAAATTAAATTCCACGAAAAGTCATATCTTCTTCTTTTATCAAAAATTTTTAACGCGTAAGATAACAATATTAAAAAAACAATACTACGCAATTACATACATAAAAAGTATTTACGAAAGCGAATGCTCCTAAATAAATGAGCGCAGCTCTATATATATATATAATCGCATCTTGATTTTAATTTCGACAAAAAGACTGACATAATCGGGAAAATTGATTAATATAATTGAATAATTATATACATGTACATTATATATATTAATTATCTTTATTAATTATTATATATAATTATAATGAAGAATTCAATCAATTTTCTAATGACAATTTACATTTCATGAGAGCATTTTTTAACTACCTACATCTGCACTTGCGCAACACAAGCAATAATCTGTTGCGTTTTTTAAGATTGTAACATTTTGTTACTAAAACGACGAATGATATTTTTAAACAAGCGTTCAAAGACCAAGTTTGATCTGAGGCCATTACTTTTTGGAGTGTCACACAAGGATATCTCTGTTATTTGTATTTTGTATACGACATTCAAATGGAGGAAGATAATTATGAATATAACGACACATACGTAACTCGGAAGTTTCTCATTTGAGATGTTACGCAAAGATAATCTCGTTAAGTTACGTACTTGAATGTAGATTATTTTGTATAATGACGCAATATAAATGTTGTGTGACATAAAGTGTAATATGGAATGAGTTTCTCTTATTGTTGTTTCCCTTTTGAGTTTATATAAATCACATTTATTAGCATGTATTTAAGGATATATACTACAAATTATATATATATAGACTAAGCAAATTAAATTAAACATTGCATAGAAATATTATTTTTTAAGGAGTTCATGCCTATAATGCCGCGTATGTTGTACATAATATACATAATGAGATAATTTTTCTTTATGAATTCCAGTATACACAAAAGTCGCGAATCACTGAACAACATTATGAGCCGACGCACTGAGTAGTTATGATTCATGACTCTTCTTCTATGCAATCTGAAATTCCTTGAAAGAAAGTGCTCCAATTCTAGTAACATCGAGTGCAGCGTTGACATGTATTTTACACATGTGTTTGAAAAATATGAAAAAACTTAGTATATTTACTTATTTATTAGAGAGGTTGTTCAAAAAATTCGTAGAGACTTTTAAATTTTAAAAGATGGTATTGCGGCTCATATAAATATGTCACTTTTTATATCAAGTTTATGATGAGTTTTACATATTTTTGGAAGATGATGCTTCAACGTACGTGTTATATAAAACGTATAATAAATCAACCTAACTAAGACTTCTTATAAATCAAAAAACAATGAAAGAACAAGGGCAGTAGGAGTCAAGCGCGGGAGATGTTGCGCAAATAACATGGCTATCGTAGCGTGAAATGTGAATGTATTAGTTATCTCTGAAGAAGGCTCAAAAATGAGCCGAAACATGTAAGCGCTTTAGTAAAATAAAGAAGTTTCACGCTACGATAGCCGTGTTATTTGCGCAACATCTCCCGCGCTTGACTCCTACTGCCCTTGTTCTTTCATTGTTTTTTGTGTTATATAAATTTATGCGAATTAGTATTGCTTATTCTATCCGATTTTCTGTATGAAGTAGCAAAAAGAATTTATGCTATTTACGGAATTAGTGCGAAAGTATCCCAGTAAGCAAAATGTTATAGCAGAATGTCGGCAGATTTAATCAGAAATGTTAGCAGACCAATATCAACTGTGGTCGCATTCTACTGCCGTTTCTTCGATAGAAATCGTTCACATATAATAATGAGACAGCAGGTTGCCAGCAGAAACCGAGCAGTATTTGCGCGCGTGGGGTAATCTAACGACAGAAAGCAAGCAAGATGCAAATCCTATTCGGTCTCTGCCGTTAATCTGCTGGCATTAGCAGTTCAGTAGACATTGTCATATTTCTGGCAACAGTTTGCCAACATCATCAGATATTATAGACTCTGTGTGAAATTTGTTGCCTTTCTATCATCAGAAAGTAACATATCATCATTGGTAGCATACTTTGCTTAAAATCTGTTTTTGCAGACTTGGTTATCTGAAATCGTATAAAAATAACTTGCTTGATATATACATGGAGATTTTAATGTTAAAGACCAGGATTGCTCAAGCAAATAGCTGATGATGATGAAATAAAATCTCTTAATGTAAGACATAGATAGCATGTAAATAACAAACTTCTTCTAACGAATAAGCATGCCGTTACTATCTTGTATACTCTTTTATTTCAAAAGGCTATTGGAGTTATTATAATAGAATTTTCTATAGAAGAATTTATTTTTTATCATAGCTAAGAGGAAGTGCTAATTAAGAGGAAGTGCTAATTAAGAGAAATTCCCCGCTTATCGGCAGAATATTTTTTTTGTGTTTTCTAGTTTATCATAAGAATATGAAAAATTGGTTTACTAACTGATATAATTAATATCATACGTACGAGTATATCAAAGTGTCAAATCTATCAAATTGTTAAAATACATCATAATAAGCAGGTGTCTTTTTGTAGAGCAAGCGTATCCAAATTATGTCAATCAGTCATAAATTCAAGTCAATCATAAATTAATTTTTCATATTACTTCTTTGATAAATTAGACAGAAATGAATATTTATAATGATAACGAATACTATAACGTAGTTTTTCTATATTAACGACACTGCTGTGTTGATAATACCTGTGGTATATTATAACAGAAATAATGCATTGATGAGACCCAGGCACACTAAGTTTTTTCTTTATTACTCAAGGAACACATAAAAGTAAAAAAAATCAAAATGATATCAAAATGACTTTATTTTGATACTTAAAATCAATAAGCAGTCAAACTTTGTAAAAATCATCATTTTGATGTCGAAGTATGTCATTTTGACTTTCTCTTGGCTTACAAGGTACGTCACCCAACTGTCCGGCACCAATTTGATTCTCCATGAAATATGTTGTTAAACGACTAAACTCAATGATGACTCGATTATACATGCATTGCTTGTCATTTGCGTGTACTATATTAGAAGTATTGTCAAAGACATAAAATATGGACATCCGCCATTCATATCTAAGTTTAGGCTGCATTCCACTCGCAACGCTCGCGCGTGAGCACCGTTTGTCATTGTTTAACATTTAATAAACAACAAGAATTGAATGATTCCACGAGCGTTGTGAGCGTTAAATAGAACGCAGTTTAAATAGTATATCAAATGTGGTAAAAAATGAGAGACAAGAAGCGTAAAGAGATAGAGACTGGCCGTCTTCATGTTCTACTTCTTTCATTTTTGTCGATCAATTTTACACACGGATAGTACAGTGTCTATGCTCTATGTCTTTGAATATTCGCATTTAATTAAATATTAATTTATATTTTTAATTAATTTTACTTTATTACGCATTTTGTATTGCTTTATTAGCATCTTCTATCTTATCGTCGGCATATGGTTTATATTTGCTTTAGGCGATCATTATAATAATTTATTATCCGATGTATATGTGACTAGGAAAGTTTATCTAGTAGATAAATTACTATGTGGTTTATCCGAAGATGGAATAACTGGCTCTAAAAAAACGAAAGATAATAAAGTCTGATTAATGTATTGAAGAAACGAAATGATAGTGAGGAATGCTTACGGTCCTTGATACATATTATTAAGGTACCTCCAGATGTGATATGGCTAACGTTTGCCAAAATTAACAAATATCAAATATTATATAATATACATAATAATTATTCATATTGAATGTAGGTCAATATTTAGCGAATGTGTGCAAAGTTGACACATATATTGGCCATATTTATCGCCTTTATAAACAGATGTTCAACTGATCTGGGATGCACTCTTCACTGCCAATTTTAAATTCCTTCGTCGCTGCACCGTTAAGAAAAACGGTTCCAAATCAGTCGATGAACATGTAATGAAAAGCAAACGATCTTTCTTTCCTTTAATAATACCTGTTTTGCATGAAGCCTCTTTATACGTAATATCACCGTGTTAAATATGTCAGTTGTAGCACGAAATTTCATTAATTACGACTTGAATAAATTTACATGAATTTACATGAAATATTAAACCGATACGCAAATCGTATACTGGTATATGGTATATTTGGACTTCTGTCACGACGCTTAATTTATTTAGATTGATTTATATAAATGATTAATGAACACATGTGGCGTTGATTGTCAACAACGCAGGTAGTCAATGAGTACCGATGAATTTATCGGTCAGGTTCCTCCTTCTATGTATAATGATGGTTCCTATGGTAAGAGTCATTCAGTGGAGATCGAGCAGCCGCGACGATCACACAATCACGCAGGATCAGTAACTTTCCAACGAGGCGCATGTTGCGGTACTGCTAAGTCAAGATTTGATAACGACAATAATTCGCAGCAGTAACCACGACCATGGCTAAGACATTCTTATTCATTTTGGCGATCTTGATCAGTGGCCAGGCGACTTTCGGGTACCCCCGTGGTGACACGACACAACAGCACATGCAAAAATCCTGGCAATATGAACCGTATTGGGAAATACGTCAAAAACTATTGTTGGATGAAAAACGAGAGTCCCTGGGCGGTGATCTGAAACTTAATCTCATCGAAGCCAAGGCCAATGATGTTCTAATGAAGGCAAAAAATCGAGAAATCTACGACGGTTCGATCCTTTCACTTACAATCATTAGTTCGCGCGCGAACGGTATCAATTCGCGAATGACCATCGCGCTTATCTTGTCCGCGATTAAATAAATTCAAAGAAAAGCTTGACATTTTAAAATTACTTTAGATTCTTTTTTTCAAATGTAACAAATCCGTAAACGTTATTCTGAAATAAATTTCGCAACATAAAAATTCAAAAGAATTTTCATTTAATGTCTATATAACGTCATTCTCATCGCATTAATTCTTTCATGGAATGAATGACTATATCATGACTATATCTAAAATTTTCCTTTTTAAAGAAATTCTGTGTTACACACTGAAAAAAAGATTAGCTGCTGCAGCAAATCTTTTTTTTCAGTGCAGCATACTTATATATTATCTAATTCCGATAATTTAGACCTTTAAATTATATTGAGAAACATGCGTTTTCCCAGGGAGCTGTCATATTATAGATTAATGATTTATCAGCTGCATATTATCAAGGATTGTGTACAAACCGTGAAATATTGTGTGAACTAAACATGAACGTATCATATCCGCTTTTACGACGGATATAACAAATAATTTATCGGATGTGATATAATGTTTACCAACAAAAATATTTTACATATTGAACGTTTTTTAACAAAAGCACAATCGATAAAGTATAATACAATGAACCATTATTGTTTGCTAACCATTCTTATTGTTTGCTAATGTTAAATAAGGATGAAATGAATCTCTGTGTTGTATTGTGTTAATAATTAATTGTGTCTTTATTGGAAAACGTTCATTAATAGAAAATTAATATTGAGAAAATTAATACTTGGCTTATAGGAGCGTAATGAAAAAATAAATATTAATGAGGACTTCAAAGTTTGCAACCTTGCTTAATTCTAACATTCTCCTCGTTTGGTTTACAATACTGGAATCCTCATATATATTTCTGCAGGTTTTATAACCGGCAACACCTTTCTGCCGTCGTTTAACTTTATGGAAGTGATACCGAAGATTGAGAAGTCTGAGGTGTTCAAAATCTTGCGCGACATGCCTAAAGGTGCTGTTCTTCACGCTCACGAATCCGCCATGGCCTCATTCGACTATCGATTCAATTTGACTTATCGCAAGAACCTATACGTGTGCGATAAGAACGGTTCTGTGCAATTCAATTTTTTTAAGAAACCTAACAACGATTGCCGCTGGCAATTACTGAGTGATGTACGGAAAGATCCGGCTCGGGCCAAAGATATTAATGAGAAGATCAAGCAATCCATGACGATGATTACGAAAGATCCAAGAAACTCTTACCGTACCGTCAACGAGGCATGGGAGAAGTTCAATGACATCTTCGACTCCTTGGGCTACATATCACATCGTCCGACCTATGAGGATCTCTTTTATCGTAATCTCCAGGAACTTTACGAGGACAACGTGATGTACGCGGAAATACGAACGACATTATCGACATTGTACGATAGTTTTGACAACAAGTCATACGGAGCATTGGAAAAAGCACAAATCCAGAAAAACGTCGTTGATAGGTAAAACGCTTTCTTTTTTAAATTATCTTATTGTTATAACTTCAGATAAGAATAATAAGTAAGTGACATAAATAAACATGATACCACAATAATTTTTCCTATTTTGAAACTAACAATCTCGGGAAACTTTTTGAGAGAAGTTATTCCGTTTTATTAGTTATTCCAATATTCGGCGGCTGTGCCGAGAAATAATGTGAGTGAAGTAACATAATAATGGACGCGACAGGTTTATGAAGGATCATCCCGATTTCATCGGCGTTAAAATTATATACGCGCCGAATCGTAGTGCCGACCAGAGTAAATTCGACTTCTATCTGAAAACATTGGAGCAGTTAAAGCAACGCTTACCGGACTTTATAGCTGGCTTCGACTTGGTCGGCCAGGAAGATAAAGGGAAACCCCTCATCAAATTTGCCGACAAATTGAAAAGCGTTGATCCGAGCATTCCATTCTTCTTCCATTCCGGCGAGACCAACTGGAATGGGGAATCTACCGATTTGAATCTCTTCGACGCTATTTTGTTAAACACCAAACGCATTGGTCACGGGTAAATAAAGCGAATACTCAAAAGAAAGTAAACATTAAAAGGTCCTAATGAAAACACTGATAAAAAATAAAATTAAGAAGTTAAATGCAGAAAGCAATTTACTTATCTAGAATTATTTTGAAATGTTTTACCTTATCTATAGGTATATATATATAAATTTTTATTACAAAATTCTGTAAAATGAGTTATGATATATCAAACATTTATTTAAAATACTCCAGTCTAATTAATATAGTAAATTGGTTTAAAACATCGACGATGTTTCTCTATATAGATACGCGTTAACGAAGCACCCACTCCTATGGAAGTTCGTGCAGCAGTTAAATATAGCGGTGGAGGTCTGTCCTATCTCAAATCAGGTTCTTGGTCTTGTTGAAGACATGCGGAATCACCCTGCGGCTAATTTATTCGCAAAGGGATCACCAGTGGTAGTCTCCAGCGATGATCCCGGATTTTGGGGTGCCAAGGGACTGTCCTACGACTTTTACGAAGCCTTTATGGGTATTATGAGTGCCAATTCTGATCTCAGAAGTCTCAAGCAACTGGCAATGAATTCGCTGATCTACAGTAGCATGAATGATCAAGAGAAGAAGAAAGCGTTGAGCCAATGGCAAGTGAAATGGAACGCCTTCATATTTAAACAGGCAAAATCAGCCTAATGACAACGAATCGAAACAGCAAATGCGAAAAATACGATATGAGCAAAAATAAAAGAATATTTTCAACAAAACAACAGATGCTATATAATTCGACAATACATATCAGAATATTTAGAGGCAATATTTGTAATGGAATACTAAAACTGCGTATTAACGTTACGGAATTGTTATCTTATAGGATATTCTTATCTAAGAAATTCGTATTTAAGAATTTTATATATGAATTGCTATGTCATCACATTCCTTAACGATGCATCTTAAAAATGCATTGCGTGAAAATGTTTATAATGTGCCTAAATACCCTACCGAAAAAAATCACGAAGTTACATAACGAAATCATGAAATTAAAATATGTAAATCAGGTAACGAATTGTTCCAAATCACTACGTGATCTTTTAAAATCGCATAATTTGAAAAATTACACGATGATTTGTTTTTTTCTTCTATTTCTATCATTTAATTATTTAAAACTCGATACATACGTAATTATATAGTTATGTTATGTAACTTTGTGATGTGATTTTTTTCAGTAGGGTAAATTATGCTTATTGTGAAAAAAGTCTATTATTACAATATAATAATAGATAGAAAAAATACCGCACCGTTATGTTTCATACAAGAAGATGTAAAAAATGCAGAGCAAAATAAATATTATTCTTTCATTACATTTAGTGAGATACTCGATCAGTTTGATGCTTGCTGCAGGAGGTTGTAAGCCGAGTAAGAAGTCCTGCAAATCTACGGAAATAAGATATTGTATCACTGTGAAACGTTTAAGAGATATTTATTTGCATTTATGTTAATTTACGGAATTGGCTTCTACCTTAACTTAAAACGAAAATAATTATCATAATCATTTTTATATTTCTCTCTCTCTCTCTCTCTCTCTCTCTCTCTCTCACAAATTTCCCAATACACTTAGTGTACTTTGCGTTCACAATGCTCGCGAGTATTATTTGTCCTTGTTTAACATTTTTTATAAACAACATAAATGAAATAATTGCAGCGTTGCGTCAAGTAGAACGCACCCATAAATACATAAAATATATGTTTCACTTACTTTCATTTACTTACCCAAGTAAAAGTATTAAGAGATAATGCAAATATCCCATGATAAGAGAACATTATTCCTTTCTGGCTGCTTATCATAATCAGCATCAGCGATCTGCGTTCTCGTGGTGTCACCATTGTCCAGTCGCAGGAATAAACAGCTGTAGCAATGTCTTTACTCTGCGAAGAAAATTCTCAAAGCAATAGCCAATCAATCACATGAAGATATTAACTCTATCCATTACAAGATAATGTTCGAACAATCGTCGTAAGCTGTTTCTTTATTGAATCATATGGTTTAATCTACAATATGCTCTTTGCAGAAGCATGCTTAGTGAGCACTAACGCGTGCATAGCACGTTAAGAAACAGCTGAAACAGCTGAAGAGCCAAGATATTTAATGTATTATATTACTTAAACATAGTACAAATGCGATTAAATTGCTTCCTAAATATAGATCTACATCAAAATGTCTTCCTCTACTTCTATTGACACATATCTACACAATTCTTTTCTCGTCTTTGTTCTTGTCTATCGTTTTAGTTGATTTATAGATACAAATAACCATATATGCATACTTCTGAGGCGGCAAAATTATTTTTGCACGCAAACAGTTAACTCTTTTTGCACGTCTCTGATTCTTTGCTTCCTATTTCCTGTTTTTTACCTTTTAACTTTAATCCTTCTTTACAAGTGTTTTATCAATAATCGTGCTTCATGTTACGTGTTTCCTTCGAAGTTGGTCAACTTTTATCTTCAGTGAAATAAAAAAATAGGATAAGAAGCGAAAAGGCAATAAATAAAAAGTGGTAAAAAGCTAGTAACAGGAAGCAGTGAGCACATTGTGGATTAGATTTAAAACTTTCCAAACTTTCTATTTTCCATGTAAGTGCTTCTTCAAAAACGCTAAGTTTTCATATATCATTTACAACGATATGCGCATTTATATACCTTCAACTCAAGCTCGTTTCCGTACCAGCAGTAATAGAACAGTTGAAGCAGTATGCCGCTCAGATACAGGAACATTGAAAGAAACTCAAAGCTGAGTAGTTTCTTCTGCAAGAATTAAATGTACGTTACATTGTTAAGGATACGTAAAATGTCTTTTTTATAATACCTTTGATATTAGGAAGATACTAGTACACACAATGAGCAGACTGAAGAAGAAGAAGATTATTATCGTCCACATGAACAACGCTCGTATTTTTTTTACCAGAATGTTCACGAGCAAATGATGTTTGACACATTCCACAATCGAGGCGCTTGTTTCCCGATTTTCTCCGGAAGAAATACGACCAGAGTTCTTCAAACTGTCTGTCAATCGGCAGCACATCAGCTCGATCTGCGCACAAACTTGAATTGTGAAGCCATAAACGAGACAATCGAAGGTAACATTAAGCATTATTCCGTAGAATAGGGTCAAAAATTGCTGCAGATACGTAGCTAGATATGGAAGGAGATTTGACACGGAATATGGGATGTACGATTTCAACGGCAAGACGCGCTCGCTCTCTTTGAGTAATCCTAGAGCTGGCGTGACCATGAAGCCAAATCCGGTCATGTATGATATCATCATGAACAATATACTGCTCCACTTAGCTGTTAAACATTTGGTTTCCAGTAAACATCAGTTGAAGCTAATATTTAATTAATCTTCTAGCTTTTGTTTCTCTATGAGCACGATTAGGAAGAAATTAAGAATGCGCGTACACTATCGATTCACAATTAATTTTAATTGTTTCACTTGTATATTTTTGTATTCCAATACAAAAATATACTTTTTTTTATACTTCATAGTTCATGTTAAATAAAAAAAGAGGTAGAAAAGCTAAAACGCAATGTTTTAACATTGCGTTTTACATTTACCACATTTGCTAAAGTTACATAACATTTAATTAAGTAAAGGTATTTAAACAGGTTTTTTACGATACAGATTATTTACGGTCATTCAATTGTCTTGATCATTAATGATCTTTGATACATATTTCATGATACAAAACAATTACGTAAAGCAATATGCACACACATATGTATCTGCGAATTACTCGAGTACCTCTACGACTGTGCTGTTCTATTATCAGCTTTTCCATGGAATTCCTAGGCTGGCACATTTTTACACGCAGAGAATCCAACAAATCCGACAGTTCACTCTCTCTCAACAAAAAATTCGCGTATTTCACACATAGTGTTAAGAAAGTCAGTCCCAGGAAAAGCCCTTCGGTCAACTCTTGAACGTGGTCGCGCATGCGAATCATCTCTATCACATCGAATATCGTAAACTCATATATCAAGAGAAAAATTGCATACCTGCAGATACCCACAGTTTTAAATAATCAATGAATAAACTGACGAGGAAGAGAAAGGCTCAGGCATAACAAAATTCACAAACCGATGCAAGAAACGTTTTGTATATCACACATAATTTTTACCGTATATGATATATTAATTTTAATATAACTGGTTCGTGTGTATGACATACCTGTAACAAAAGCGCAAGAACCTGATGCATATGTTTTCGTTTTTCCGCTCTTTCCATGCGCCGCAAAAACGCAGAGCTTTAAAGTTTATTGGTAGAATGTCCATATCGTCATATTATTCTCGCGTAATCGTCGATCTTATTCTTGTTCCGTTTCAGTCGCAAAATTTTCTTCGTCTTTTAATATTGTATAAGTTTGATTCTCTTCCTTTATCGGGTAAAATTTCCGATAACATTCCATCATTACGAGCTGCATTAGTAATGCCATACAATGTTGTCAACCGCACATTAAATTTTAATACAATCGAGTCGTTTCTCTCATTGCAATATTTTTTCAATACGTTTCCTTCATTGAAGAATATAAATCGTTTCTATTGTATGCTTTTAACATAAGATTATTGCGTGTCTCACAAAATAAAAATTTGTTGAACAACTCTTTTGCTATGCAATATTAAATATCCATAGGAAAACAGAGACATAGAAAATAGTAATAGACCGGCGAAAGGTATAGACTAGCGCTATGTAAATGATAAACTGCATAGTCTGAAAGTGAAGAAGGTAAGAAGTTTTTCACGAACTATTTTCAAATTGATTAAAACATCTGTTAGGGTTGAGTTTCAAGACTGAAATTTAATTTCGACGCAGTGTGTTTGCAGGATCGAAAATATAGTATATAAATTCATTCAAATTATTTATGCGCTAAAAATCCAGCTTAACCTACATCTTATTCTTTTTATTGTAGAAAGTAATTATATAAAAATGTGCGACCTAAACTTGGATTTTTTCAAAAAGTACTACATCTTGCATCTCTTATCTTTTGTAAAATATAGAATATACATACAAAGCACATTTTAACTTTTATTATACACGTGGTATATTAATCAAAGTTTGCTACAGAAGACTAAAAATTGATCAAGACTTAAAAATTGTTTTGAGAAAACAAAAGAGTTTTTTATTTATATTATTATAATATCAAATATTTTACATATTTCTCTTTTTATATAAATTAATTAATCAGTTTAAATCAATTTAATTATTAATGTCAATATGGATATTTAGATTGCTGCAACGACAATAAATTCGACATACTTTGTAATGTTGAAATCAGTTTTATATTTTATAAGCTTTATAACATGCGTGTAAATATATTTATTTTCAACTTTATATCCACATATTCATAGATAACGTAAATTCCAAAATGACAAAAGTTATTCCTTTTTAACTGTCACAATAAACCTTAAAGACTTGCTTTTTTGCAACGTTTAATCATTAAAATAAATATTATTTGCAATGTTCTTGTGTACTCATCAAAAGTGAATGCCAATTATACATTTTATATAATTTGTTCTAATATTTTTTTAATCAGCAACAGATAGAACAACTTGATTTGCGAAACAAAGTTCGTCAAAGGAAATATTAAACGTTATTATATAAAACAGTTCTGCAATTTATTGCAAGTACATCACTACATATAATATTATATGGAAATGTTTTCAGGATGAAACAGAGAATGTACGATTTCGTGGATAAATCCTATTCTCTTTTACATAATTCTGACGACTTAATTTAAAACCAATCAATATATTTAAAAACTTATTTAACATCAAATGCATCTGGCATGAATAAATAAAGCAAATACTCTGAAAAAAGAAAATTAAGTGATCTGGATTAGAATATATTAATAAAAAATAATTAAAAGATTTTTAAAAAGTAATTTATTTATCCAAAATTATTTTAAATTGTTTCGTCTTATCTGAATTTTTATTACAAAGTTTTGTAAAATTGTGGCACCATAAAATAAAACATTTATTTAGAATATTTCAATATAATTGATACAACAAATTAATTTCAAACAACAATCGTGATAACGAAATACCCACTTCTATGGAAGTTCGCGCATTTAAATATCATGATAGATGTTTGTCCTGTTCTAATCACTAATCACTAATCAGATTCTCAATACAAGATATGCAGATTCATCTTACGGTCAATTTATTCAAATTAGGATGACTAGTAGTGGTGATCTCCTATAATTAACCAGGACTCTGAGATTCCAGGGATTAATCTACGACTTTTACGAGGCTTTTATGGATATGATGAACGTCAATTCAGATTGTCAGATGTCTCAAACAACTGGCGATGAATTTGTTGACCTAGCGGTAAACGAGAAAAAAGGAAAGCACTGTACAAGTGGCAAATCAAATAGACGCCTTCGTACCAAAGTGATCCAAGTAGTTAAACGACGGATCGGAATAGGAAACGAGCAAAGTGCTTCCTCGCATTATTAATATGAGTAAAAATCCCTTCTCGTGTTAATAAAAATGAAATGAAATATTTCTGAAAGAATAACAGAATGGTGCGATATTATCAGAAAATATAATAGTAACAATAATAATAATAATAATAGACTATATTTTTTAAATCTAATTTAGAACATTTTTGTATTCTTCTATATTTTTAGTGAAAATGCACTAGAAATATATATCAATTTTACCGAATTGCATTTAACCAAATAACATTTTTATTAGAATTCTACATACATGTTTCACTACTACGAGTATCTCATCACATTTTTTATCTGATGTTCGCGTGGAAACTCTGTTATTGTAATATATTCTTTGAAATCCTAGATTCTTTAAAAAAATATTACGCCATATGTTACGTTTTGAACAATAAGAACTGCACAACAAAATAAATATTATTTTTTCATTCCATATAATCCAACAGTTAATTAATTTGAAGCTCGTTGCAAGAGATTGTACGCTGAGTAAGAAGTCCTGCAAATCTACAGAAACAAGATATTACATCACTGCGAAACGTCTAAGAGACATCTATTTATATTCATCTGCGCAATTACGTTTCTGTTTTAGCTGAAATGCGCAGATAATTGCCGCAATAATTATTATACTCAAGTATAAATCTCATAGTACACGTAATATACATATCTACATATTTTCATTATTTACTTACCCAAGCAAAAGTATTAAGAGATAATGCAAATATTCCGTGATAGGAAAACATTATTCCTTTTTGACTACTTATCATGATCAGCATCAGTGATCTGCGTTCTCGCGGCGTCGCCATGGTCCAGTCGCAGGAATAAACAGTGGTCGCAATGTCTTTACTCTACGAAAAAAAATTTGCAAAGCATTAGTCAACCAATGTAATCATATTTCTTCGTACGGAGATATTAATTTATATTTCCAGAGCCGGGTAAACAATCATTGCGAGCTGTTTCTTTGAACTATATATAATACTCTTCCCAAACTTTCTATTTCTCATCTATTTCTTCAAAAATGCTAATCTTTTACACACATATATCATTTTCAAAGTTACGCTTATTTACCTTCAATTCAAGCTCATTTCCGTACCAGCAGTAATAAAACAGTTGAAGCAGCATACCACTCAGATACAGGAACATTGAAAGAAACTCAAAGCTGAGTAGTTTCTTCTGTAAGAAATAAATGTACGTTGCATCGTTGAAGATAAGCAAACGTCTGTGGCAATACCTTTGATATTAGGAAGATACTAGTGCATACAATGAGCAGACTGAAGAAGAAGAATATCATTACTGTCCATATGAACAATCCTCGTATTTTTTTTACCAGAATGCTCACGAGCAAATGATGTTTGACACATTCCATGATTGAGGCGTTTGTTTCCGGCTTTCGTCCGGAAGAAATATCGCCAATATTCTTCAAACTGTCTGTCAAGCGGGAGCACATCAGATCGATTTGTGCGCAGGCTTGAATCGTGAAACCATAAACGAGACAATCGAAATTAACGTTAAGCATTATTGCGTAAAATACCACCAAAAATTGCTGCAGATACGTAGCTAAATATGGAAGTAGATTTGACACGGAATATGGTATATATGTCTTCAAAGGCAGCACGCGCTCACCTCCCTTGAGTAATCTTAAAGCTGGCGTGATGATGAAGCCTAACCCGGTCACATATGATATCATCAAGAACGACATAGTACTCCATTTAGCTGTTAGAAACATTTGATTTAACAAAATTTTACGTTCACTACTGTTATCAAAGTTACATTTAATTTATATTATTTAATTAACTATTAGCATAATTCAATAACTTATTATGTAATTAATCACTTGAAGGGTAAAGTATTTATCGTATGAGAGAGAGAGAGAGAGAGAGAGAGAGAGAGAGAGAGAGAGAGAGAGAGAAAGACTCAATCGCCAATGCTGTTAACAAGAAATGATGCATTAAAATAGATGATTATTTACTCTTGATTGCCTTGATCATTAATAATCTTTGATACATATTTATATTTTGTAATATGTAACATTTACGTAAAGCAATATACATACACGCAAAAAAATATTTTGCTGCTCCAGCTAGAATTATAGCTGTTTTTTGTATCTGATAGAAAATTATGTATCATACGCATAGAATTTATAGCACAAATCTAAATTCTACACTGAAAAAAAA